ATACATACATATGTATATGTGTGTGTATATGTGTGTGTGTGTATATATACACATATATATGTATATGTGTGTATATGTATGTATGTGTGTGTATATATATACATATATATGTATATGTATATGTGTGTGTATGTGTGTGTGTCTATCTATCTATCTATCTATCTATCTATCTATCTATCTATCTATCTATCCAGTGACAAATCTGGAGTTTAGCAAGTTTCTGGGAATAGACTGAGGCCAGAAAGGATCATAATGATAGCCTCCCTGGGGCACTGTGGAAGTGTCACTGATGGAATAAGCCAGGCCGTTTAGCTCCTCTCTCCATGGAAGATAGGAGCTGGCCAAAGAGAACAGGAGCAGCTGCATCTTCTCTGAAAGACTGATCAGGTCTGAAGTGGTGTGTGCCTTCTTTTTCCAGGCTTTTCCACCCTAGAGGTGAAGTAAGGAGGGGCAGGCTCAGTGACCACCAATTTCCTGCTGGGTCTATTGATTCTCAAGATGTGAGCTTTTTCCATATCCCTCTTTCTCCTCACATAGAAAGGTCTGTGTGGTGAGGGTGTTGCAAGAATAATATTCTTATGCTATTGACAGTCAGCATGAAAAATCCACCAAGAGAAAAACCTGGGCTCTCTGAATGGAGGAAGGGGCTTTGGAGGGTGAGGTATTAGCCAGAAATGGTGTCCCCTTTCCTTAACTCAGATTTTCCAAGAGCATGACTATGACCCCACCATGCCTTGAATTTGTAATTAGGTAGCTATCTACTTCCTACAATAGCATGCAGCTATCCAATCCTACTCTTTGTAGAACTTCATTTTTGGGATAGTCCCCCCCCCTTTTTTTGGGTGTAAATGCTAAAGTGCCTAAAACACACTAGCCAAGAGCCCAGTCATCCATCAGCTACTTGGTGGTTTCAGCAAACTGTTGGAGATGGGGGTGAGGATCAGAGATTGGGGATGAAGTGGAGGTGGGATGTTGATGAGAGTGCACGAAAGATAAGGCACTGACAGAATGAGACTGGGAGAGAAGGGGTTTGACAGACAAATGCACTTGAGTATCTGGTCATCCTAATAAAACCAACATTATTCTCAAATTGTTGGTATTTAAAAGGCTTAAAAGACCCAATATTGAAGTAGTTAGGGAAAGAAAAGACAGTCTCATCAATAAATGGTGTTGGGCCCTGGCCAGTTTGGCTCAGCGGTTAGAGCGTCAGCCTGTGGTCTGGAGAGACCTGGGTTCGGTTCCCGCTAAGGGCATGTACCTCGGTTGCAGTTTGTCCCCGGCCCTGGTTGGTTGTGCGGGTGGCAGCCACTCGATGTGTCCCTTTCACGTCGATGTTTTTCTCTCTCTCTCTCCCTCCCACTCTATCTGTACAAAAAATGGAAAAATGTCCTCGGGTGAGGATAAAAAAATAATAATAATAAAAATAAATGGTGTTGGGAAAATTGATCAGGTACATGTAAAAAATGAGACTAGAACACCAACTTGCACCATACACAAGAATAAACTCAAAATGGATAAAAGACTTAAAAGTATGCCATGAAACCATAAAAATTCTAGAACAAAATGTAGGCAGTAAAATTTCAGACATCACATGCAATAGAATTTTCACCGATAGATCACCTAGGGCAAGAGAAACAAAGGAAAAAAATAATAAATGGGACTACGTCAAACTAAAAGGCTTCTGTATAGCAGAAGAAACCAGCATCAAAATGAAGAGGAGACCCACTCTTTGGGAGAACATATTTGCCAATGATACATCGGATAAGGTGTTAATATCCAAAATATATGAAGTACTCATACAGCTCAACAAAAGGAAGACAAACAAGCCAATTAAAAAATGGGCAGAGGACCTGAATAGACACTTCTCCAAAGCCATACAAATGGCCAAGAGACATGTGAAAAAATGTTCAATGACACTAAACATCAGAGAGATGCAAATTAAAATGACTATGAGGTATCACCTCATACCTGCCAGAATGGCTGTCATCAACAAATCATCAAACAAGTGCTAGTGAGGGTGTGGAGAAAAGGGGACTTTATCACAGTGCTGGTGGGAATGCAAACCAGTGCAGCCTTTATAGAAAACAATGTGGAGTTCCCTCAAAACATTAAAAATGGAACTGTCATTTGACCCAGTGATCCCACTTCTTGGAATATATCCTAAGAAGCCTGAAACACCAGTCAGAAAGAATATATGCACCCCTATATTCATAGCAGCACTATTTACAATAGCTAAGATCTGGAAACAGCCCAAGTGCCCATCAGTAGACAAATGGATAAAAAAGCTGGGGCACATTTACACAATGGAGTACTATGCAGCTGTAAGAAAGAAAGATCTCTCACCCTTTGAGACGACACGGAGGGACCTGGAGAGGATTATGCTCAGTGAACTAGGCCAATCAGAGAAAGACAAATGTCACATGATCTCACTTATTTGTGGAATGTAATGAACAAAATAAACTGAGGGACAAAATAGATTCAGAGACATGGAAGTAGGGAACGGACAAATCTCAGAGGGATGGGGGATGGGAGGGGTGGAAAGAGATAAACCAAGGAACTTATATGCATATATGCATAATAAATGGACACAGACAATAGTGCAGAGAAGGCAGGAGGGGGGTGGGAGTTGGGAGGAGGGGTTCAGTGGAGGTAAAAGGGGGGGATATCTGTAATACTTTCAATAATAAAGATAAAAAAAGAGTGGGAAAAAATAAAGTAGTTGGGGGGCATGCAGGTAGAGACTGAAAAAGGAAAAACAAAGCTTTGCACTCACCTTGACTTTCCTAGTTCACTCCTGTCCCCTTGGCCCAGATAATCTGGTGCCCCAGTGAAGGCTGTAATGTAGGCAAAGGTTCTGCCCTGCGAGGCTCCCTGCCCCTGGTGAGGAACTGGGCGTAGTTGCTCACACAGTTTTCCTCACAGAGGTACTTGAGGGCTGTGAACTTTTGGAGGGCAACGTTTCAAGGACTGATTCTACTTAGACTACAAGTAATCAGTCTGAGAGTTTGGATGACTTCTCTTTGTTCTTTTATGATTGAGTATGGATACAAGACGACTTCTCAAATCTTACTCCAGTGGGACATATGCTTCTGCTGCTTCTGCACCTGTCGGGCAGGCGTTACCCAGAGGTGGAACGTGTAAAGTGTCTTCTCATTTTCATTCTTTTTTTTTTTTTACATTAAAAAAAAATTGATTTTAGATAGAGAGGAAGGGAGAGGGAGAGAGAGACAGAAACATCGATGAGAGAGAACATCGATTGGCTGCCTCCTGCAGGCCCCACGCTGGAGATTTGGCCCACAACTTGGGAATATACTCTGACTGGGAATCACACCGGCAACCTCTTGGTGCATGGGTCGATGCTCAGCCACACTGGCCGGGCTCATTTTCATTCTTTATCCCAGGCATGCCAGTTCCTTATAGAGTCTGTCATTGCCCTCTTACCTTTGATGATTTACGACCCCTCCCCAGCCTCAGTTTGGAAACCACAAGTATATTCTGCAATATGTTGTGATGATTTATTAAATAAATGTGTGTTAACACACTGGGTTATTAAGTTCCTATTACATAATATTTATAAAGTTTTGGAAGCGTAGAAAATCAAAGATGAGAGAATGTAACTTTGGCCCAAAGCAAATGTTTGAGTGCATCTTGTCACATAGAACCATGAGTTCTCACACTTTCTGTACCTAACTCTATGTACCTTTGCCTGTGCAGTCATTTTTTTTTTTCTGATAGATCATTCCCTCTGAGCTATGGAGATGCTTCCTCTGGCAAAACTTCCACCCCACACATAGCTCAGGCCCCCATTCTCCCAGGGCTCCCTATGGATCCAGATAATATTGCAGACAGTTGTCTCTCTCTGCTCTCCTTCCGTCCCTCTTTCCCCCTATTTCACCTGACCCCACACCTGGCTGATCACGACTCTGCTTCACTGACCAAGGGCAGAAGGCACCTGTGCCTTAGCTTAACCATTGTGCTGGGAAGGAAGCTTGGCTGCTCTTGTGAGGTTACTATTATTAATGAGTTTGTAATTTGTTATTGCTCTTAGTGTCATGTTCACAGGAAGGAATGCTGGATGGAGCTACTTCTGGGGTCTGTGACATTAGCCAGATGTGTCCTTGACTCAGAAACCAGAAAGCTAGCTCCAACAATGCTGGGCCTGGGAGAGGAGGTTGCTGCCCACCCTTTTCAAACAAGTCTACTATCATCAGAGATTTCTTCCTTTTGCATCACAAGAGAAGTTTAAAAATATACTTTTAAAAATTGTGGTAAAATATACATGACATAAACATTTATCAATTAACCATTTTTTAGGTGTAAAGTTCAGTGGCATTAAATACATCACCACCGTTTTTCTTTTTTCTTTTTTATTCTCACCCGTGGACATTTTTTTTTTTTTTTTTTGCATCTATCTTCAGATAAAGCAGGAGGGAGAGAGGGACAGAGAGAGAAAAACATCGATGTGAGAGACACATCCAGTGGTTGCCACCCACACAACCCCAACCTGGGCGGGGACAAACTGCAACTGAGGTACGTGCCCTTAGCGGGAACCGAACCGGGACTCAAGTCTGTGGGCTGACGTTCTAACCGCTGAGCCAAGCCGGCCAGGGCACATCACCACTGTTTTTCAACCATCACCAAGGACCCTTATATTTCCACTGTGTCACTGTTCTCAGGACAGTGAGTTCTATAGAAAAGTCCTCTCTGTCCCATCTGAACACATTCCCCAAAGCTGTGTGGGGAGGGGGATGGGCAATGGAGGGCTTGGAGTTGGGAAGTAGCTCACCCTGTCCCCCAGGATGGGATTGTGGGAGGTTCATTGGTCCTGGGGGAAAGATCCCATTTTCCTGGAGGAGCTCAGGCTCAGCCTTGGCATTTACTTTTCACAGCATTTACTTTGCACAGAATGAGATTTGATAACGTGAGAAATTGGTTATTTCCATTCTAGACATGGACATTTATTAAGGCTCTGGCAACCCCACTGCCCCAGAGAGGAAGAGTCAGTCAGAGGGGGTCTTAGCTCCATTCCCCTGCTGCTTGAAGCGTCGCATTGTTCTAGTTATCCAGGGCAGGAAACTGGAAACTCTGGTGAAGACTGCTGGAGGAGTCGCGGATCTGCTTCCATAGGAGACAATGCCGTGGGCCACATTGCTACACACAAGGGGGCCTCCGGAGTCCCCCTGTGGGTGAGGAGAGGAAGGGACACTAAGCCAGGCCCGGCACTCCACACCTCCCCGTGCTTGGTGCCCTAAGTCCGGCCCTCAGGGAGGGGGGTGGTGGGGTGCAGAGGTCAAGCTCCTGGGTCTTTCCCTGTTAGGCTTCCGCCCTGGCTGTGGTCACTGTTTCCAGCTCACCCCCCGTCAAAGTACCTTTCCCTTTCCCGTGGAACACTGCGTATGTGGGCGCTGTGTGTGCGGGGCTCCTCCCGTCCCCCCGAGACTGGACTGATGGGAAAAGCCCCCACCTGACTCTGGTCTGGCCCCCAGACTGAGTCTGTGGGGATGTCGTCTGTTCCCACTGCCCCGTTCTGCCCCGACGCCGGTGGCCTTACCACGAAGGCGGTCTTCCTCTCCCTCCGGTCTCCCACGCAAATCTGCTTTTGGCCGTTGTAGGAACCAAAGACATTGCTGCACTCCCGGTCCCTCTGCACTCTCAGCTGCACCTCCTGGAGCGTGTCTGTTCTCCTGTTCAGGCTGACTAAGCCCCAGCCAGCCACAGTGCACAGGGACCCCGGGCTCACCCTTTCCCCGGCCCGAGGCAGAGCCACTGGCCTCACGAACTGATTCCGCCGGGCTCTATTCTCCAGCTGGAGGTTAGAGTGCAGGCACTCAGGGAATGTCTATGCAGCCCCCCCCCCCCCCTGCTTCTTCCTCCTCCATGGCCCCAGGACCAGGTGAAACCCCCATGCTGGGAGGCAGCCAGCTCAGGTAGAGGACCAGAGGGTCAGGCAGATGGTACCTGCAGCAACATGATGTCATTCAGGAGGTCCTGTTCGTTATATCCAGGGTGACGGATGGCTCTGCGTACAGACATGCGCTGTTGGGTCCTTTCCCGCCTCCCGATGTTGTGGGCCCCCAGGGTGACATTTATAGTGCTGCAAAGGAATGGGCCTAGAGGTAAGTATGAGCTGCATGAGCTAAAATACTCCAGCTCTGCAAGGCAGGTGGAGAGTCCAGGGCAGCGAAACTGCAGCTGAGGGAAGTGAGGGGACAGGAAGGCTCTGGGGCTGAGATCTCTGTGCCCTCTGCTTCTCCAAAGCCTTGAGCTGGGAATGGTGGGGGACACAGTGACCTGAAGAATATATTGATAAATAGGATAAATTAATAATGAATAGTTCGAATTCATATTTTGAACTTTCATGCATTCTTTTTGTCTCCTTTCCTCATCAAGGATTTATGCTAGCCTATTCCCTATCTCCAAGGACCTAACTAGTCTTTTTCCACCCTTTCATCGCCAGAACCTTGCTTTCAGATGCATACTCTCATGAACACACCACTGGGCCTAACGCCTGCCTGAGACCTCCTTAGTAGCTCACCTTCCCCAGCAGTGAGCTGCTGTCATCACGAAGTCTTCTCGCACCAGGAACCCTCCACAAGCGCTCAGTCCCTGTGGAGATCGTATCAGAAGATACGCCATGTAGGGGCGGGAATGGGGCCTGGCCTCTCGACCTCCGATGATCTCTCCTAGAAGAAAGTATTCAGCACTTGTTTCTGTGCTTGATGAACCTGGGGTGAGGGCACTAGGTTGGTGGCTCCAGAAAGGCTACCTTTGAGGAGCCTACACAGGTGATCCAGGGACAGGAGGTGTGGTGGTGAGAACTGGGGTCTGCAGGGTACCACATCATGGGACAGGGCTCCAGGGTGCTGCTGGAATCAGCGCTGGCCTTCCCTGCCCAGAACTCAGCTTCCCCACCCACCTCTCCAAAATGAGAACAACTCTTGCTCCAGGCAAGGCCGACTCAGCGACTCAAGTGGGGGAGAGCCCTGCTGTCCTGATGGACATTCCAGAGCACTCTGGAGTGACTTCTCTCTAGAGCTTCCCGGAACTTTCTCTTCCTGATCCCTCTATGTCTGGCTCATGACCAGCTCATGAGCAGCACAAATTGCTTTTTAAGAATGTAGAAAGTGAGCTGATGGGACTTTACTGCTGTATCCTTGGCTTTGACACATGGGCTTCAGAAAAATCCATAGAGCAGAGTTACAAAGGACGCACTACATGCCAGGGGCAATTCCAAGAGATTCATGTACACTCACTAATGTAACTGTCATAGCACCTCTCTGGGATAGGCTTTGCTATTATTCCTATTTATAGATGAGGAGCCTGGGGACTGTGGCTTCAAACCATGTGCCCAACGACACAGAGTTAAGAAGTGCCTAGGCAGGCTGGGTCCAGGGTCTGTGGGATGGGATTGGGCCTCAGGGTTTGGAGGTCACTCACCTGCCCCAGCCCCAGGGGGTAGGAGAAAGGCCACCAGGAGCAGGAGTAGCTGCATCTTCCTGGCAAGGCTGTCCATCAGTTGCTGTTGGTGCTTCCTGCTGCCAGATTTTCAGTCTTCAAGAGAGGAAGGAAGGGTAGGGTGGGGACCTGAGGGTTCCCACTGCCATTCTTCTGTTGGTGTGGTAGGTTTCATCACCCCTGGCTGGCCAGGTGGTTTGCCGACCAACTGCCAGTGACCTGGGGAAGGGAGAGTAATCCAAGCTGACACCAGAGCTCCCACAGTTGCTGAGTCAGTGTTGTCATCAGGAATGGGAAGCAGGGCTCAAGGAGAGACGTTGGGCATGGGTCCTGGGACCCCAAACCCACCCTACTCAACAGTATCCCAACAAGGCGTGAAAGCGGCTACTGCCCACTGCCTCCATTTTCTACCCCTCTGGGATCGAAGCCTGCCTGTCCTTGCCCTTTGGGCCCTGGCCGCCTGCTGACACCCTGCTGCTCCCACCTCTTTCTAGAAGCTGTCAAAGCAGATGGAGTAGCTCTCTCTCCTGAGTGGGTGGAGATTGCTGGCAGAGAAGGAAAATGGGAGAACAAGGCTGTGCCACTGATGGCAACTTTCTTAGGTCACTTGAGCCTGGAGAAAGTCTCAGTACAAGTTATGACACAGCTGAAGTCTTCTAGTTGCCTTCTTCCCAATCAAGGTGAAATGCTTTGTGTCTCAGGTTGCTCTCTGTATCAGGAAGGCTAGTGAGCTGATTTTGTTGAGAGCTGTCAGAGCCTGGCTTGGAAATATGTAAGATCCTATTTCGCCCAGGATATGAGACCTGTCGGCCAAATCCTCATTCTCTGTGCAGGGTGGGAGCTATGAAGAAGGGGTACATCCTTGCTGTGCTACCTGTAATACGTAAATCCAAAGACCTGAAACCACCCATTCAACACTGTGGGTAAGACCCGGCAGAGCATTGCAGATTAATACAGTGGGTTTTGAGATGCACTTAAAACTATGTAGAATGTTCTGAGTATGCTCAGAAAAACATTATAATCCGGTAGTTAAGTACCTATTTTTCTGAGGGCATTTGCTTAACCCACAAAATTTGAGCCTCTGGTTTGATGCCTATATACAATTAGAGGAGAAGAAAACAAAGATGAAATTTACACAACTAAGTTGAATCAGAGCCTCTCGGCACAGGAAGCCAGGGCCTGAGAAGTCTGTACCCTCGAAGTAATATGGAAGAGTAGGGGGCTAGTCCTTGTAAGTAATTCGTGAAAGAGTGGAACTACTTGCACTGTTCTTGGGGTCTCAAACCTTAAATGTGCATCATCGTGGTTATGGATGTACCAAAGGAGCTGGAAGAATCAAATGCAAACAGAAGAAATTCACTTAATTCCCGATTTGAATCATACCTAAAAATTATTTTTCAATTATAATGATGAGCATATTTTCAAATGTAAACAAGATATACAAACAAAGAAATATGACACCATGACTAAGAAACCATGGGTTAATATAATAGGAATAATTTGATACAAAGTATAAAACAAGTATGTTGATATAGAAGCAAACTTTAAAAGAGGTGCAGGGAACATGACATTAAAAAAAAAAACAAAACATACCATTTAAGAAAGAACTAAATATAACTTCTAAAAGTGAAAAATGTAACAACCAAAATTAAAGTCACAGTGGATAAAGTAATAACAGACTAGGGAAAGATGAAAAGAAAATTTGTAATGTATGGTAGATCAGAAAAAGTTGTCAAAAATGGAGCACCGAGTGGCATAAAGACAAAAATATAGAAAATAATAGAATTAGAAGGTTGAACGCATGCTTTGGAGATCTGGAAGAAAAAAGAGAGAACAGGAAAAGGGATAATGAGATAGTGGTTGAGATTTTTTCAAAACTAATGAACAACATCTAATTAAAGGTTAGAAAAGGTAAATAAAATAAAAGTAAAATAATAAAAAGTAATGCATACCTAGAAATCAATATAATAAAGAAAAGGTAGATATCTTAAGAAAAATAGATTACTGGAGAAAGAAGGATGTCTTTCAACTGAATGGTGATTAAAGGCTGAATTCTCAATAGCAACAGTAAGTAATGGCTACTCAGGACGAAACATCTCATGGTCCTTCGGGGAGACTTTTAGACATCTTATAAATCGATTAGTAATGATAAAGAAGTCATGAACAGCTGGTGAAAGAATGAACACATATAGGACACACTGACCAATAACTGCAGATTACAGACTTTATTAGCACATGTGGAATATTTACAACATATCGACAATAGATTAGGCCATAGGTTAGGTGTTAAAAAATTATTTAAAGAAATAAAATTATACCTCATTTGTGGCAGACCGTAATAAATTTAAGCTATAACTCATGCTAAGAATATAAGCAGAAAACCACTATATTTTTAAAAGTAAAGAAATATACTGTTAAATCAGGGGTCAAAGTAGAAATCATAATAGAAATTTAAAATTAAAAATGATTAATAATGATGAAAATAATTTATAGCAAAATTTGTTGGGAATATATGGATAAAGATGAAACTTGACTGTTTAACAGTTATACCTCCAGTGAATTAATTTAAATGTAAAAATAAGACTTTAAAAGATAAGATAGACTCTCTTTATAAACATAAGGTAGGGAACAAATTTTAAATAAAGTATACAGAACACTAACCATTTATTATTATAAAGGAAAATAAATAAATTGATCTACATAAAAATTTAGAAATTCTTTTTTATCAAAGTCACTATTAAGATAGTGAGAAATAAAGCCTCATGTGGGCAAAGCTATTTACAACTGAGAAAGGGTTTGTACCTGGGAGATATATGTATATGTATTTTATATATAAATCTTATCTATGTTGTCTTGTAAGTATTGAAAAGCCAATAATTTGTAAAATTGACAAATCTCTAGAAAATATAACTGATGAAACATAAGAAGTTTGAATTTTCCTATAAAGATTAAATCAGTTGAGTCAGTTATCAAAAATATTTCATCAAGGACAGCCAGAAACTCATATGGCTGCACTGGAAATCTCTACAAAATATTCAAAGACTGCTATAGAATTTTTTCTGGAGAGAAGATACTACGCATCTTCTTTGTGAGACTAGCAAAATCTCAATGCCAAACCCAGTGAGGACAACATGGGAAAGAAACATCACAGGTTAGTTGAATATTAATGCAAACCAAATCAATTAATTAGCAAGAAGATATTATATCATGACTAATGTGGGTTCACTCTAGGTATGGGTGACTTTTCATTCTACACTCAATTGTTATAACACATCACATTGATTGATGAAAGAAGAAACACCATGTGATTATTGAAGCAAAACAGAAAAGCATTTGCTAAAATTCACCCTCATTTATTAAAAGAAATCTTAGCTGACTAGAAATAGAAAAGGATGTCTTTAATATGATAAAAGGAATCCATAAACATTCCACAGCTGTATTTATACTTACTGGTGAAATGTTCAGTGCTTTTTGTTTAAGAGTGAAACAATACAAGCACAGCCGGATGGTACCCATAGTCATCGTTTCTCTTCAACATTTTGCTGAGATTTTAGCGATTGCAGTTAGGCAGGAAGTAGAAGTGAAAGAATAAAGAAAGGAACTGATATATGATATCTGCATAGAGAATGCCAAGGAAACCACAGATAAATTATTATATTTAATAAGATAGTTTAGGGACTTCCGGTCAAGATGGCAGGTAGGTTAACGCGGTATCGCATCCTCCCACAACCACATCAAAGTTACAACTAAACTACAGAACAACCATCATTCAAAACCGCCTGAAATCAAGCTGAATGGAAGTCCTACAACTACGAAGTTAAAGGAACAGCCCCATAGAGACTGGTAGGAGGGGTGGAGGCAGATGGGCTGGTCCCACACCCACATGTGGCAGATAAAAATCAGGAGGACACCTCGGCTGGGAAGGTCCTCCCTTAGGACTGAGGGGTTCTCATCCTACACCGAGCACCCCGCTCAGGGTTCCAGTGCCAGGAAAAGAATCCCCATAACTTCTGGCTGGAAAAACCAGTGGGAACTGAGGCTCAGGGAGGCTGATGTGGCTGGAGCCCCAGGCAGTAACTCTTAAAGGGCCTGCACACAGACTTTTTGGACTCCCTCCCTCTAAGCTTGGAGGGGAGGCAGCTCCAGAGGCACCAGAGACATACAGGGAAGAACTGAGCTGTTTGGCATTGGAGCGAGGGCTGGAGAGGGGGCTTTCTCCGGGACAAACGTGCTGTCAGAGGACTTTGTTCCTTTGGTGAGCCCTTCCCTAGGGCAGCAGACAGCCACCATATCTGGGACTCCAGCAACCTGGCTCACACTGTTTGCCCCACCCTGGTGATTCCCTGAGGCCCTGCCCCACCCAACTTTCAGGCCCACCCAAGCTGTTGCCAGTTGTTTAACCATAGGATTGGCCTGTTTTGGATCCTGCTTCAGGTTTTCCTAAATTCTTTCAAACCAGCAGCATCTGGTCTCAGCTAGCCCCATACCTTGTGTTAAGTAATGCATAGAAACAAACAGAGGGAGGCAGCCAAAATGAGGTGACAAAGAAACAGGTCCCAAATGAAAGAACAGAACAAAACCCCAAGAAAAGAACTAAGTGAAATGGAGATAAGCAACCTAACAGATGCTGAGTTCAAAATACTGCTTATAAGGATGCTCAATGAACTTAGTGAGAACCTCAGTGAACTTAGTGAGGGCCTCAAGAGCATAAAAAAGGACCAGTCAGAAATGATGGATGCATAGTCAGAAATGAAAGAGGAATTAACTAAAATAAAAAATAATTTGCACAGATTCAATAGTAGAGTACATAAATCCCAGAAGCAAACCATTGATTTGGAATATAAGGAAGCAAAAAACGCCCAATAGAACAGCAAAAAGATAAAAGAATCCCAAAAAATGAAGATAGTGTAAGGAGCCTCTGGGACAACTTCAAGCGTGCCAATATTCGCATCTTGGGGGTGCCAGGAGGAGAAGAGAGAGAACAAGAAATTGAAAACCTGTTTGAAACAATAATGGCAGAAAACTTTCCTAACTTGGTAAAGGAAACAGACATACAAGTC